ACAAGACTTCATAGCATACACGACAAGTAATAATCACATTCCTAAACATACTAGACAGAGAAATACTAGTAAAACCATTCACCTATTTCTACCATGTTAAAGTTCTATGTATTAGCTTTCCAACGCTTCAAAAGGTACGTCATTTAGATATACGATTAAAAAGTTACGATCGAAATCGTGTTGAAAAATAACTTTTTTTGGGTAAAAATGAGTGCATGAGCCGACTCATGTGAGTTTCAGGTCGGCTCATGTATTACAGTATTTTAGCATGTAGATTTTGTTTCGTGTGTGTCGGCTTTCAAGTCAGCTCATACTGTTGTTTTTAGCCTAAAACTCAATTTTCAATCATTTAAACACCAATTTGCATACCAGTAACTTATCCTACGAAATCATATCATAATAATCCAAATTTTACACTATTATAACACCCTAATTTTATCTGTCATGTTATGAGATTAAGGATTAATAATACTTCAAAACTACAACATCAATCCATCATCTTTAGTCATTAATTCATCATCTTTAATCACCAATTTATTCATTCATCTTAATTTTTCTGCTATCAAATCATACTAAAATAACTTATTATGGTATAACATCAAAGATTAACAATGAATCATAACCATTGCACCAATTCATCAATTATCAACATCAAATCATCGATTATCATCATCAATACATCAAGATTTACAACACAACAATTCATCATCATCAACATATGGATTCATCGTCATCAACACAAAAATCATCATCTCGTGGAATCAAAGATTTTAACACAGAAATTCATCAAATTCATTCATCATCAATCATCACAAAATAACAAAACCTACGTCTACTAATCCATTATACAATCTATAACTAATCGTGATTAACCCCCTTACCTTAATTCCTCAGCGAATTGATTCTCTCTTCGAGGTCTACAGAAGCCTCCTCTGAGCCCTAGCCTTTTCTTTGTGTTCTTCCAAACTACGATTGTACAAAATGATTGCTACTGTTCTCTTTTCTATTTTTACCCTTAGGATCCTTTCTATGATATTCCATTTATACCCTCACTTATCACCATATATTACCACCATGCCCTTATTCTCCCTTTTTCACCTTAATATTATATTTATTCTATTTAGTTATTATATAACTCTTAATAAAATAAACAAAATTATTTAATTCTATATTATTCTAATTAACACCTTAATCCATACTATCCCATAACATACCACACACATGCATCACATAATTCACCAATAAATCACAAATAATTTAATTAAATAATTAAATCTAAAATCTGGGGTGTTACAAGATGTCCCAGGTTTGTAATCTCTTGGGAGCAATTTTTGAAATGCTTATTATTTAACACTCAGGGACCAAAATCAAAAAACAAACATTCAGGGACCAAAATGAAAAAAATCAGTCCACGTGGAATATAAAAAAGTCAATCCTACAGACACCATAACATTTTCACACATTTTATCATCAAGAATCAACCTGATTAACAGATTCCATGGAGTATATGATAAATTAGAGTTATGTTTATAACGATTCATATGTCACATGTTAATGATGGTTGAGTTTACATGTCATTACGATACAGGACATCATAACAAAGAGGAGATAGAAACTTAGTGAGAGCAGTCATTATAACACTTCTCTGCTTGCTGAAAGTCATGAGCATAAAGGTAGACGATAATGGCACTAAGATAAGCATGCATTCATGATAAGCATGCATTCATGATAAGATTCACGAGAGAAAGTTTATCATAAATTTATTTTAGTACTTTTACAGATTAACAAAAAGCTTAGAAAATAATTTAGTAGCGTGTGTTTCGAATAACTAACGCAAACTTTAGTTATTACAATTTTTTTGTGCAAAATATTTCAAGTGTTTGAAATTTGATGTATAATTTTTTTGATTCTTTGTTTCTTACAAGAGTGACAGGTATTGAAGGTTTCTTCCCATGGTTCGAAGTTGAATAACTTCCTAGAGGGTGAGATGCCTGGGGAGGTCAGGCGTATTGTTAAAGTTTTATCTGCTAGAGTTTGTTGAGTGCTCCTTGACCATGTCGGATGCCTCTTTGTTGTCTGCTTTTGTTGAGAGGTGGCACCCAGAGACATCATCCTTTCATCTTCCATTTGGGGAGATGACGGTCACATTAGATGATGTTGACGCCCTGTTTCACATTATGATTGTTGGTACATTCTTCACATCTGCTTATATTAACCATGCGACAGAAATGCCATGGTTATGGATGATTTGGAGGTATATGAGGTGAAGGTTCTAGAGGAGTTTGGCATTAACAGGGGATATCATCTTCGGATGTCTTGTCTTAGGGAGAGGTACGGGGATCATGTGGAGGCCCATAAGTACCAGGTTGCCGCTAGGGCGTACATGCTACATCCGGTGGCATGTACTCTCTTTGCGGACAAGTTTAGAGTTTACATTGATGTTCTCTATCTGTCTCTGTTCAGTACCCTTGACACTCTATGTTGGGCTTGGAGAGTGGCAGGATTGACCATGCTGTACACGACACTTGGAGTTGCTACTCAGCCTAAGATCAGACAGCTGGCTGGTTACCTTAGCCTTTTACAGGTATACTAGCATTTATTTGTTGATTTTTATTAGTTATTTGAGTTTATTAAATTGTTTTTATATATGCAGCGGTGGATATAAGAGAACTTCCCACGCATCTATGAGTGGAATACCCAGAGTGTATCACCTAGTGTTCCATGTGTGAGGAGATGGAAGGGAAAACAAGCCATTCCAAGAGGTTTGATGGAGTACCAGAGGAGGCTTGACGCTTTGACCGTAGAGGATGTCGTTTGAAGATATACATCTCACTGACCTTATCGTCCATTTGACGATGCTTTTTTGTATTTAGGGCATATTAGGTGGGAGAACCATGTGGCTAGACACTTTCCTGGGAGGTGTCTACGATAGTATGGTTATGTCTAGTGCATCCCTCATCCAGTACCATAGATTCTAGTTAGTGGCATTGACATATGGTTTCAGAGTCACATCATCAGTTTTTCCCGTGAGATCACAAATAGATCAGTCGAGGTTCAACATCCTTCATAGTGCGAGGATGGATACATGGAGTGGTATCACAGTGTATCACACCCTCGGGTCATATCACTGGCTAGGGCATCTGATGTTCCAGGAAATTCACGTGCTAGGATTTATGCCCATCCGCCACCACCACCTGTAGGTGATCAGGACAATCGCCTACAGTTTATTGCAGTTCATTTAGATAACCTCATGGGTTTGATAAACCCTGATGGTGAGATTTATACAGGTTTAACTAAGTTAGCCGACGTAGCCCGTGGGAAACCTATGTAGATTTGTTTTATTTTGGTTATACAGACTTCTTTTTTATTACATGATATTTTGGCGATTATATATTTCGAAACGATGATGAACATAACATAAAACAATACAACAAACATAAACTAAAAACAACTAAACATGAAAACCTAGGCAATATCAGATGATTTTGGACGTTTCAGCATCTTCATCATGTCGTCGATGAATCTTCAGCTCTGCGCATCCAACTCAATCGGACCTTTAGTTATCCTACGACGAAATGATTTCCACATGGATTTCACATCTTCATTGGTCTTCAACTCAATTAGGTTGTATTTCACCCAACCATTTGTATCAATCCAATATTCTCAGAAATCGATCTTTGTCACCTTTCTGTTATCGGAACCAGATAGCAATTCATTCAACTTTTCTTTCAAGTTGGCAAGGGATGTGGTGCCATCTGGAAGCTTGAATTCAACAAGAGGGTTGTTTCCGTTATAATACACTTTTGTCTTAATCAGAAATTGAGGAAGAGACTTTTTTTTTGTCTTTCTCCATAACACATGCCTTTATTTATACAAATGACGGTGCATTTTAGACCACACAAATTTATCGGTGCAATCAAAATCCTTCAAAGATGTCGGCAAAATCCTGACTGTTTAAAAAACTTGAATACATGAACTACCGAAAATTTCAGTATATCTCAAATTTCTGATAATGTCCGATAAATTTGAAATTTCTGAAATACCAAAAATTTCAAATATACTATCGAAAATTTAAACTAACCGAAAATTTTGAAAGGGTCTTTCAAAAAATTTCCTAGTATCGAAAATTTGAATACTTCTACTGAAAATTTTTTGTATCTCATCAAAAATAATTATGAAATAATAAAAATTGGAAGGTACCGTATATTTAATTTAAGAGGTGTCATATTAAATCCTCCGACTCGTGGACATCATATCTCTAAGACTATAACTATATATTTTTTTAAAAATTGTTTTGCTAAATCTCAAACTTCATTGCAAAGATTTCAAACGCCTGCAAGTGCTGTAATTATAAAGGAGCAACCTTTATATTTAGAAGATTCTTCCAAATAATTTTGATTATTTTGCTACCAAAGTTGAATTTAAAAAATTGTTTCAGATTAAAAACTTAACTCGAATGTTAAGTTTTGTACTTCAATATATTCATGAAAAATAGTTTAAACAATAACTTCAAAACTAAATCAATCCTAGAGATAAAAACTCAAAACTCTAACATTTAAAATCAATCTCAGATACAAAATTATCATTCAAAACCATCTAAACATGTCTTCAATTCTGCATTTTAAAAATCAATTTTACTTGCTTCAAAATTGGAATTTAGAACTAGACATATATACCCTAAGTACGAAAACATTAGTAAAATTGTAATAACATTTCAATCACGTTCTTGAATATTATACACTACAAAATCACTGCATGCATTCAAGAAAGAAAAAAAAAGAAAGAAGGACTCAACATGTATATGGTGTATCTGCATTGATGTTTTACACAAAGAAGATGAGTTGTTGAAGAACAAAACATGTAACCAGCAAGATATCAACGGCGGCCGAGAAAGGCTCGGCCGACTTCCATGTTTCTCCGACGGGCAAAAAGTTTGGCGAATAAGGCATCATGGATGCTGCATCACCGAAGGTAGAGTAATCAAGAAGCCTCTCAACACCATGAACAGCAAGAGAAGATGTGCTATAAAGATCAGGATGAGTGAGGAGGACATCGTCGAGGGTGAAGTTAACGAGGGAGTTATCGGTTATTTCGATGGTTTTACCGGGGAGGAGAGTAGGGAGACGGGAGTAACAAGGGAGGAGGAGGAGGTCCGCGAAAGCGAGACGCTGTGGGACGATATGGTACGGGAAAGTGAAGGGGTTTAGTGTGGATGAAGGTGAGAGTGTTTGTTGAGGGATGAAGAGTGTTAGGCTTAGTAATGGATTTGACATTGATAAGATGCTTACCCATTTGTTTATGGTTGTGTCTCCTGAGCCTATGAGTGCGTCAAGAATGTTGTTTAGTTCTTGAGTTGGCATTGGTAGAGATGGTGTTGTTGATGATGATGATGTGTTTGTGGAGGTACTACTGCATGGTGTGAAGGTTGTGAAGAAGATGAGTGTGATGATGAGGAAATGAGGATAGTAGTTGGTGTTTTCCATGGAAGAGGGAGAATGGGAGAGAAAAAGAGAGAGAGAGATATTTGTGTTCTTGGGTTTGTTTTCTTGGTTTTGGATGAAGGAGAATGATAACTGATAAGTGAAGTTTGTTGGTGGTTTCTAGGTTTTATATAATTTGTATTCAATGTGTTGTGAGATTATAACAGAAGTTTGAGTCCAAACTTTTTGTCGTCTCTAAAACACAAAAACTACCATCATTAGTAACTAGATTCATTCAAATTAGTAAACTTGTCCTCAAACACCTAAGACCAATGTTAAAAAACTCTACATAATTTGGTAGAAGATTAAAAAATCGTAACTCGAGAATCCTAGTACAGATTGTGAGGTTCTATTTCCCGTAGAAACTTTCATATATACAAAAGCAGACAACGGGCATGGGTGTGAATGCTAGTAATAACTAAGGATTTAATACGACCTGACCCGGATTCATACCCGTTTTAGGTGACTATCGATCCCGCATAGACTGCATAAGACCAATTCCAAAGAGTTTTTAAAGAATTTACCATTGGTGTTCTCAACATGATATATGGGGTGAAGGATGAGTTCAGAAATATGGCAGAAGAGTCCTCTTAAGCATTCCAAGGTAGAACTCACTGAACTTGTTAAGGATTGCAACGAAGTAAAGAAGTTTCTCATATAATGTCTGAACAAGATATTACCAATTACTGATTCAAATTCGAGCTAGTTCCATCGCTTATTGAACCTTGAATTTAAGCTTTCCAATCACCAGTAAAAGCTTAAACTCTACAACATATCGCTCTTTGACAAATAGTTAGTTATACACATATCGGCTAATTTGCAACTAACAAGTGATCAACATACATAAAAACTAATTCCTCTTATTACCTGCATTTCAATTTCAATATGTATATATACCCAGTAAAAAGAGCAGTATTTTTTATACAAAAATCAATATATACCAAACAATTCAATTCACACTTCAACTTTTAATAAGTTCTGCACCAGTTATATAAATAGAACACTAGGTTAAGTCAGGTCATTTTCGTCCAGTGGTTCCTCGCCATCTTCGGCAGTGGCAGCCTTTAATGCACTCACATCGCCTGTTGGAAGTTTCCTCGCGATACGAATGATCTGCAAAAGATTTGCACCATGTCATACAAAGTTGAGTCCACATATATAACCCCATAATTGATAGAAAAATCATCATAAGTTATTGATTGAAGATTGTGTATTGTATGAAATTTGACAACAAGTTTCTAGTCAATAACAGGCAATCACAAGGTATTAAAAAGTGAGCACTTTAAAGAAAAAGTCGGTAAGTGGCCAAGCATCCTAGAAATCAGCTGCTTATAACTAAATATAAGCTAAATCACTCACAGCATGGTCAAGATGGGAAACGGCGCTAGACTGAGCAATTTTTTTGATTTCGTCGACGTCTCCATCTGTGTAAGCAGCAAGAAACTTGCTAGCGCAACGATTGTGGTCACTTTTGAGAAAAGCATCAATCCTACAGACATCACAGTATTTTCACACACTTTATCATCAACAATCAATCTGATTAACAGATTCTAAGGAAATCAAAAAAGCAAAGTTTATGAGGGAGGGGTCAACGGCAACAGCAATAACAATGAAAATGATTTCAGTTCACACAGGAGTGTTATTGTGTTTATTTTATAACGATCCGTATATCACATGTTGATGATGGTTGAGTTTACACTTCATTACAATACAGGACAGCAGAACAAATAGAAGATAGAAACTTACTGAGAACAGTCATTATAGCACTTCTCTGCTTGCTGAAAGTCGTGAGCATAAAGGTAGACAATAATGGCACTAAGATAAGCCTGGATTCATGATAAAATTCACAAGAAAAAGTTCATCAAAAATATATTTAGTACTTTGGCAGGTTAAAAAAGTGCTTATAAAATAATCTAGTAGTGTGTGTTACAATAGCTAACACAAACTTTAGTCTTGGATTCTATTCGCGAAAGGACCGTCTTCGAGAGGTTAAACACAAATGTACATGCGTATAAACAATATGGATTCTAGTCGTATTCACAAGTTTGGCAGCCCTACGGAATACAGAATAAGAAAATTATATGTTATTCCAAACCTTGGACTGACTATTTGTAGCATTACATTTGTCAGCTGCCAAGCCCAATCTCAACAGGGAAGATGCGGCATCTGAATATCTGTGTAACAAAACCATGCCCAAGACAAATGTGTCAGTCAATATACAATTACTTATGTTCATTTTCGTTGAATTTTTAGTAACACAAACACCAAATATAGAACAGAACACAGGTTTCATCCATTCGAACCTATTTGTCAAATGCTACCTTTAGCTTTAGATAGTGCACGAAGATACGTTATGCTTAATAAATAACCATAAGAATGCACACTGTCTTAACTTTTATAGTACTTACTTCTCAAGTTTTATATAAACACTGGTTACAGCACGGTATAGATCGAAGGCCATCTGATCCTTATCATCGTCTTCAAGAATTGTACAAGCATCTGTATATAACTGAATCGCTTCTTCAGGCATGGTATCTTCTAAAGCACTGCATAGGGGGAAAAGTACTATGAGAAATGTATGGTAATAATAAAAGATAGAGATTTAGTAGACAGTAAAACACAATTTTACATCCAGATGCAAAACATACATAGATATAGATATAGATTTTCTTAATATGCACATAATATGTCATAGGGTCTTATAAATAAGGACTGAGTGAGTACTCCACAAAGATCCTAGCATGCTTGATTTTACCAAAGAATAGATGTAACTTGATTATCATGGAGTTATCATATGCTAACCTATCAGGGCATTCACATTATGTATTTTGATATATGCTAATATTTAGTTGATTACTCTACTTCAACATATTACAATTATCATACTTTTAACTGCAAACAAGAGGGTAAACATTAAAATTACCGAGCTCCCTTTGCAAGAGCATCTGATGCAGGTTGTGGTCTACTGCACTCCATGTACAATTGAGATGCCTTTTGATAGAAGTCCCCAACTTCTCTCCAGTTGCTCAATTCCTTGGCCAGAGCAGCAGCAGATTCCATGTGCTTAGCTGCATCCCAAGGTCTGATTAACTTGTCAAGGACAAACAAAAGCCGGAAGTTTAACAAATTGAATCTGATAACATCATAGAAGATCATGAAAAATTTTACCCTTGAGAACAAACGAAGATGAAGGAGAGAACGTAAACAAAATCAAAGAATAACTACTATATCCCAATAGGCTTGGAAAATCATCCCCCAAAGCCATTAGGGCCTGGAGAAGAATATTGTGCACTGCATTCTTAATTTCCTCCAACTGAGGCATTCTAGTAAGATATTCATTAATAATGGAAGAGAATGAAGGAGACAACATAAACAAAATCAAAGAATATAAGGATACGAAGAAAGCATCTCTTGTCCTTGTGAAGCTTTCTCATAAGCCAACTTTGCTTTCTCATGATTCTTGGAAGCTCTAAACCCAATAGCTACACCAGACCAAAAAGAGTTCATTAGTTTATCACCAACATGCATTATTTTCCTTTAAAAAAATTAATTTAGACATGCTTGCCGGTGTTATTAGCAAATAGCGCTATGATTTAGCATAATTAGAACAAACAGCTATTTCGTGCAGAGTAGTCGATCCCAGATAGCAGCGCGGAGCGGCTAACCCCAAAAATGGATGGCAAGAAGATAGCGTATAGCAGGATGGCCACTACTTAATCATTCTTTAGACACAAACTACATGAATAATAATTATAAACATATGAAGTGGATAGGGAAGAACTAGGAAATTGTGATTTTTCTTTGGAACTGATGAAGTGCAGAAACGTCGGTGAAGGAAGGTTAGGATTGAGTCTCAACTTAAAGTTGATTGAAAAACTCAAAATTTAAGAGATAATTTCGGTTTCTGAAGGAAAGGGATAGCAAGACAGAAACCGCTCCTCCCCCGCTACCTGCTATTTACCCTATAGTGGCCGCTATAGTGTTCTACAGCACTAAGGCTCTTCCCATAGCGGCCAGCCTCCACTCCACTCTGCTATTGACTACTCTGATTTCGTGTGAACCGCAATTGAAAAGAATGCTTGCACAAAGAAAGAAATAAAAAATTTAGAAATGGTTGAATAATAATAACAGTTACGACTTACCAGCCTGCTCATAAAGACCAGTAGCAGTCTTCCAATCAGCACTCCACCTAGTGAGACTGAGTTTTGTTCTGAAAAGAGAAACAAAAAAACACAAGTTTAAGGTTTTATACCAAAGAACATAACCAACCACAGACCACAATTCAACATGTTTGAGATCAAATTACAAGATATCGAATATTATACTCCTAAAATTGGATCACATGATATCAAAAATGGATACTGTAACTAGAATTGATGGGTGGAATCTGAGGTTGAAAGACGATCTGGATGAGGATAATGATGAAATAGAGAAAAGAATGAATGAAAGAGAAGATGAATATACATACAGTTTATCAGCCTTGGTTAACAGCTTGTTGGGATCAGAGGACGCCATGATTGTGCTGTCTGTGTCTTCTTGTGTAGTCCCTTCCGATTCAACTGAGTGTTTGTTGTACTAACTCACAACTTACGCTTCACACATGTTCGTCTAGGTTCTCTAATTTACTCACATGTCCCACACCTTTGTTTAGTTACTTTTTTTTTTGTTTTAATAGTTTAATTGCAAGGTTTTTTTTTATAAGCCAAATATATATAAAATAAAAAAGGAATACAAAAAGCTGTGGGAACATAAAAAACCATAAGATTAATCCTAAAAGATAATACATTAAGATTTAAAAGAAATTATCTGTGTTTGTTTTATGGATTGTGAGTTTATTTTAGATATAATTTTATTATTTTCAATTTTTATATTATAAGGTGAGAATATTTTATTTTTATGAGAATAAAAATTAACCATTTATAATTTTTTATTATTAAATATTTTAATTTATTTAATATTTATTTTAAAACTTAAAATAAATATATTTATAAATATTTTTAGAAAATGAAACTATTCCCAGTAATAATATTCTCAGAAATAATATTCTCAAAATTAAAATTTTAATCTTTGAAACAAACACACTCTTAAAA